CAGGCTGTTCCATCCAAAACATGTCAAGTGCTCTAGTGCTCTTGCAGTTGCACATGTCCAATCCGTGAGTACATTGACGTGTCATGAATTGATTGGTGAGTGACTTGCTTATATTTGTATATATTTGGAGTTTGATCCCTCTTCCCATATATATGCGGATTGGGCCAAAGTCCTGAGGAGTTTGGCCAGAAATATTTTTGGGCATTTTGGGTACAAACAAAGAAGCCCTGGATCTCCTCCTCGACTTTAGATCTCATTTCTCGCTTCCAAGACTGTACCGATCTCACTGTTCCAGAGCGTAAGTCCCTCCGTAAACGCATTAAAAAATCTGCTTCCCGAGATAAGAAGCAATTTATCGCTGGGCATCTCCAGGACGACTTTCATGGCTCCTCTATCCAGCAATGGCGCACTGCCCGCTCAATCCGTAAACCATTCGTTGCCCGTTCAGTTAACCTGTTTAATATCCATGGCAAACTCACCTCGAAGGATCTCCGTGCTACTACTTTTGCTGAGTATGATTCGGAGAAAGTATGGAAGGCTCCTGATCCTCAACCCACAATCCCCGATAGCCCCTCTCCTATTGTTGAGTGTTCAGCTCCGTTTACCATGTCAGAACTCAATATAGTTCTTAGGTCTCTAAGCTCAGGCAGGGCCCCTGGCCCGGACACCATTCCTGCCGATATGTTGAAAGGCTCTCTTTATGTACTTAACCTTTTTCTTCTGGATCATTTCAAGCACTGTTTGTCCACCTCCACTATTCCCGATTCTTGGGCACTCTCTGAGGTTGTTATGCTAGATAAGAAGATCCTACAGGATACTCGTGATCTCGCTAACTATCGTTCCATCTCATTAACTAACACCATGTACAAAATCATCGCCTCCCTCTTGCAGAAACGCCTCTCTCACTTTTTCGATCCGCCCTACTCAGTTTGGTTTTCGGGCTAGACGCTCCACCTCAACCTATTCATATTATGCGTCGCATCCTCGAAGTTTATGAAAGGCAACAAAGCTCATTGCATGTCCTCGTCCTTGATTGGTCTAAGGCTTTTGATTCTGTCTCCTTTTCGGTCATCGAGTCTTCTCTTCGCTTTTTTGGTGTTCCTCCGTTGTTTGTCGACGCTATTCTTTCTCTCTACCGCTCTCCTAAGTTCTGCGTTCGTGACGCAGGCAAAACCTTTGCCATTTTTCCTCAAACTCGTGGTCTCCGTCAAGGATGTCCTTTGTCCCCTTACCTCTTTAACTTTGTCCTCTCTCATCTTTTCCATGATGTTGAAACCTCATACGTCTCTGAATATGGTCTGCTTTCAGGGGTTATCAATACCCCCTCGCCTTTATGGCATTATGGGACCTAGAATACGCTGATGACACCGCTCTTATGTCTAATTCTGTTGAACAGATCACCCGAGTTCTCCATTTACTTCAGCATGGAGCCCATATACGTGGCCTTACTCTTAACTTTGACTAACTGAAGAGCGTGTTTATTTTTCACTCTCTCTGTCATCTCCATGTGAATGCCACTCTTGCTTAGGACGTGAGGTTCCGTCGGAACCCGTTCCTTTTTCGGACGAGGTTAAATATCTCGGTGTTTATCTTGACTTTTTTTGACACAATAGAAAGAATGTCTCTTACAGAGTTTCTCAGGCTATGACTACCTCCAAGCTTCTCAGGCCTCTATTGGCTCATAGAGCTCTCCCTCCGTCATGGAAGTTCGTTCACTGTCTATCATTCCAGCCTATTCTACTTTAGGCGATGGAAAGTTCCCAGCTTATTCCTCCACAACTTACAAAGCTCAACCACGTCCATTACGCATGAAATCCTCCTTCTATCATAGGGTCTTAAATCCTACTAGTGAAGATTGTTCCAACTCATATCTTGCATCCTTATCTTTTGATTCCTCACGGGTTATTATTCCCTCACAAATTTATTCTCAGAATCGACTCACCTTGCTTGGACACCTATTTCATCATCCTCACTCATTGGAGTTCTCCTCCACTTTTATGCTTTCGGGTCAATACCGATACGCACGTCGCCCGAATAGAGTTGGACGTCCTCGCCTTCATCCGGCTGAATCCGTAATGTCAGAGGCGTCCAATAGAATCTCATATGTAACCTCCGACCAGGCTCCCTTACACAATGATATCGACAACTCCGTTTTTCAAATCCCTATCGCTTCCAATGTACGACTGACTCATGTTTCCCCGTCCCTTATGTGGATGGATAATACTACACTTTATCGCCGAATTCAACCTGACAGAAGGGAATGGTTGTTCATAAACCCCCTAAACAACGCCGTAACTGAGAGCTGCTCGTGCTGACGACTTTGCACAGAGGCTTACGCAGGTCGAAAAAAAAGGTTTTAGGGTTCGGGAGTTTAGAGTGTAAGAGTTGGGATTCTACGGCTTAGCGTTTAGGATTCTGGGGGTTTAAGGTTTAAGATTTCAGGGCTTGAGGACCAGCGGCTGACTTTGCATCTGAGCGTTCACAGGGGTGAGGCCAAGGGTTTTATTTCGTGCATGTTGCTTTGCAAGTCACAGCTTCTCGTGATGAGATAGAATACTTGGGGTGGTGGCCATCCAGATTCATTTCCAAACCCCCCGCAGGCACAAGGATTTCATTGGAATAAAACCCTTGGCCCGACCCCCCCCCCCTTCACCAGACCCCTATCAAACGTGACTGTTGGCACATTTCACGCGCGACAACGCAACGACGTTACGAAGATGACCCCCAACGGCCCCCCATGTTGTTGGCACTGTTAAGAACGCAGCAGCGACGGTCCAAACAAGACGACAAGTACGAAGTTAGCAACCCAGAGGAGCCCCAACCTGTGTGACGGTTGGCAATTTCACATGCAACAATGTGATGCATGACGCAGTAAGGAAGGTCCAAAAACGAGTGCAGTTGTTGTTTCCACACCCACATCCTCGGCGCGCGAACGGCTAGCGGTTAGCAAACGCTTGCAGACGTTTGCAACATGTTACGCACCCTTTGGACCACCGAACATGCGTCTTTATTGACCACGTTGGAGATACACTGAGCAGTCTGTTGCATTCGTGAGCACGTTTTCGTGAAGTGCGGACGAGAACCTTTACCATGACGAATCCCAAAACCAATCTTAAATACTGTACGTGGCAAGGTTGTGTGAGAAGGAATTGCCTCTCAAGCCCCATGGGGCACCAGGAACAGGAATTTGGTTGTGACACTTGTAACAGCGTAAAGTCCTGATTGCATCTGCGGTTCGCAGATTCATGGATGACAGCTTTGCCCACAGATGCAACAGCACATCTTGCTGAATTGTGTCGGGCAGCCCAGCAGATTCCAAGGTAGTCACGTGCAGTCGATCCGGGAGGCCAGTGTCGCACTTCAAGCCTGTGACACGAATGGCCACTCGACGCATGCGAGAGGGTTTTCGCATCAATTGGATGAACATGCGCGATGCCCTGACTGGAGAAGGCTGGATTGTTTTTTGTTTGCTCCGAGCGCTGTACTGCGTGCATGCGTTAGTCACCGGGATGTTCGTCTCGTGCAGTCATGTGGGAAAGTGGCGAATGGGATTGTGATCTTGATGAGATGGAGGACTGAGTGCCATCGGTGCGGTCATGCTTCACGAGATAGCTTTTTTCGGTGTAATTCTGTGCTCCAAGAGCTCCGAAGGCTCAAGTTCCGCGAGAAATCCTGAGTTGCAGACAGGCCAGTGCGGTTCACAATGTCAGGTTATGACATGGAAACTATTGTACGTGGCTTTCACCCAGATTTCAGTACACAACGTCGCTAGCTCAATGCATGGTCTCGTTCGTAGTTGTCAACCTTGGATTCTCAATGTGTTCAAGTTGCTTCATTGTTCAAGATCATCTTGCTGTTGTTCCTGGAGGTATCCCGCGAGCTCAACTTCTCTTCAGTTGAAGTCATGACGAGCTTGAGATTGGTTCAGTCAGTCAGCATCTCAACATCACCGTTTGCAAGCACGGGTCCGCGGAGCCTGCCGGCATCTGTTCTCAAGAGACCATGTGCCTGAAAGTAAGGTGATTTTCAAGGGCGAGCCGCTGGAGGATGCTGTGCATTTCTTCCAAAGGCATGAGGACATGGCCGTTTGCGCAGTGGAAGTGCAGGAGTGGAACTTCCATTTCGGCTTCGTCATACCAAATTCGACGAACACCTGGCAGCAGACCATAGAGGCCTAGACAATGTGCAGCACAACGTCCCTTCAGCCATGTGGAGGGTATTTGTCGAAGAGCAATCGCAATTAGGCGTGCTACGGGAAGTTTACGTTCCAACGGTGAGTTGAAACGGACTTGGTAGTCGGAAAGGCTGCCGAGGAGGAAGAAATGCTTCCAGCAGAGTTGTTGCCAGAGCCTCATTCGAGCCAAAGGATGGCAGCAGTAATGGCCTGGTTTTTCTTACGTCTGACATGGAAAGTTGGTGGAGCAGGTCAGGAAACGTTGTCATAGAGACCACATTTCTTGATGGTCCGGGGCTCAGCTGGGAACATACATGCCGTTGTGTTTCAACCAGCCTAGGGCGAATTCCAAGGTGATTGTCCCATCATGACTCAAAGGGTCAGGATCTCAGCATACTACGAGGGAAGATTGCTTGAAGCTGCATGTGAGATAGTGCTCGAGGTCCGCATCTGGTACGTGTGAGGAATGAAGCAGTTCCCTGCAAACCAGCGATACCGTCCACGCGCAGTGCGTATTTGCAGCTGGCGCCAATGCTGTAGTTGATGAGAGCTGACATCTCCTGTGCTTACTGTGCTCAACACAGTCAGAGCACCTCAATGCGGCGCTGCAGACCTGCGCTCTGCCACAAACTCTGGCAGAGCGCGAAAGCACAAGTAGAAGTTGAAGTGACAGCATGAAATCTTTGTGCTGCTTACTCCTCAAAAGTTGGACCGGTTCCTATTGATGGAAGACAAGGTCAATCTGAGCAATTTTGGGGATTGGTTGCTGTATTGAGGTTCTGTTGCTCAACGTGCGATGCATTGTGTTGAATCCCGGTTATACGTCTTGACTGGCAGGGCTTGCAATGTTCAAGTTGACATTACCACTGCCACTAGTCAGAAACTGGGTCACGAGCGTATCAAGGCTGAGGCAACACGGTATTGCTCCTCCGAAATAAGTCTGATAGTCTGCTAGCCCATCCGCTTTATGGCTCCGAGGCCTGAGTGCCGACAAAAATGTAGCCCCTTTGTGGGCTGCGGGTGGGGGGTTGGCAGTGCGACTTCGCCACAGGACCTGAAAGTAGTTTATTTTGGCATGCCTTCAACTCTGCCACGTATGACGTACAGGAGCCTGCACAAATTGTGGCCTGTTATACATAAAACCGGAACTTGCATCCCCAAGCACATTCCTCCCGGGCCCATGGCGGCTATTCGGTTTGGGTGGTTTCTCTGAAGCGTGTGGAACTCAGGGGAGTGACAGTCTCCGCCAACTGCTTCGCCCATGCAATGTTTCCAGCGAATGCCTTCCCCCCTAGTATGATATATTTTGCTCGCATTTTTACCGTGCATCAGTCTTCTTTGCTGCCGCTGTACATTGCCGCTGCGCGCCCTAGCAACTCAGGCTCCCCATAATGTGAAGTTGCGGGCACGTGTACGTACGTGGCGAAAGCTAAGAGCACGGCTGCCGCTAGTTACGTAATTTTGCCGTCAAAGAAAACTTTCCAACATGACTGCTCTTCTGTCCTAACATGTTGCAGAGTCTTTGCTCAGGCATGAGCTTCAAAGATTTTGTCAGTTAATTGATCACATTCTTGAACATTTCCATGCACGCAAGCAAGCATGTAGTCTTTGGTAGCTTGTGGACCTTAGAAAAAATCAGATGATTGCCCTGACAGCAATGTCTGCAAAATAATTAGTGAATCACAAACCTGGAAAATGTGATCTAGTGTGTGAGGGATCCACCAGAGATGCTTTGCATTTGGCACGTCTCCTTCGCATGGGCGTGCATTGGGCGTACATTCCCGCGATGCGTCCTTCTGCCCTTGTTGTTCGCAAGCTAGGCTGCATTTTCCCTGCTCCGCTGCTTTTGGATCCCCGTGATTGCGATGCGCTGTGAGCAGTTTTAGTCTGGCTGATATGCTTCGCTCGCGACGCGCATTCCTGTGTGCTGTCTTTGTTTGCTGGTCCACAGTGGATTCGCTGCATGTATTGAGCAAATCAGTGCCCGTGCGTGTTGTCACACACCAGGGTTTTCGCAATGGCAAGTCTAGGACATTGGGCACAAGCATGCAATTGCATCTTGCAGCATGGGCTGCGGTGGATCAAGTGTCGTTGTTTTGCTGCAGTCACCTGAAAGTTGTCACTGAGTTCAGGACAATGGGCAGCGAAATTACACTGTGTTTGCAAGAACGTCTCTGACTTTGTGATGGTATTCAAGGCAGTCGCGAGATCTGACAAACAATCTCAAACATGCCCCAATTCCAAATTGAAGACGCAGGAGAGGGTCAGATCTTGACATAGTGCTGGACTCCGTCTGCTTCTTGTGGCATGGATTCTTGATTCATGCATTCGAGCAGATTTCTGCAGTTGCCGTTGGATTGGCAAGCCTCTGAAGAATCTTAGGTTGAGTTCAGATTCCTCGAAGCATTGGCTCAAGTAAGACATGAGACGGTGTGCGCGCATATGGAAGGATTGCCAGGCAGTGTCCCAGCATCAGGAAGTTTGACATTGTGTTGAAGAGAAAGCCTTCACATGCAGGCTTTTCTTTGCGTGAGTCTAGATTGTCTTTGTTGCAGAATGGTAACTGATGAGTCCGTTGCGGAGTTCATATCCTTAACATCCGCAAGTGATGATGAGGCCAGGTGCAGCTGTGAAGTAACCGCTAAGTCCACACGGCTGTCGGCTGGTGCAGCCCTTTGCAAGGCAAAAGGTTACCTCGAGATGGCAGGAGGAAATCTGCAACAGGCACGCGAGAGTCCCTGGACTTGCGGTAGAACAGGAAAAGCTGCACGTTTCACAGGCTTTGAGCCTCTTCTTCGAGATGGGTGGGAGCTCATCTCCGGCAGTGCCGACTCGCTTACCTCCAGCTGCTTGGCCGGAGCCATTCCAATGGCCAGGCCCTTGGGCCCGTCCCGGCTCCAGCAGCTCCATCAGCCTCGGACTCACGGACGCAGAAAAGTTCTTCTGAACTTGCTTTGAGTCATCTTGAGTTATCTGCTCGAGTATTCAGGGTGCACCGGCGAGTCAGCCGATCATCGATGCTGATGTAGCTGCTTCCTGGCGCAAGACATGCCCTTGAATTGCTGGACCTCGTCTAGAATCTAGAGTTCTGCTCGTGGGGTCTAGCAGCGCACGCATTGCTAGTGTCACTGTCAAGCGGTAAGGCTGAAGTAGCGGCAGCTGCAGCAGCAGCTGGCATCGATACAGGCTTGCGTCACAGCTTGCCGTGCCTTGATCTTCAAAATTTCATTCAGCACTGCCTGTCATAGCAAGCTACCCACGAGTGCAAGTTGACGTGTGTAGAGGATCTTGCAGCAAAGACCCGAAATGAGCCGTCCGCCTTGCGATTAGTTTTCGGCCTATCCCTGCGGGTGATCTCTCCAGCAGTCTTTGCACGGGAGTGCTCCGGGCCCCCTTGGGTTGCAGCCTCGTCGTTTCAGGCCGTGTTGCAGTACTTAGGCCTGGCCAACCACTGCTTCATTGCTTAGCTTACATGTGCATTTCTTCTGGCAAAGTTTCAACTTCCCAGCCAGATCCTGTGGTCATGTTGTTTCGCTCGGTCACTCAACAGCTTTGCCCAGCCTCCGATATACAAGATTTCTAGCAAGCCTGCCCTTCTGGAAACATTCGAAAATGCAAATAAAAATTGAACGAAGGTTGCGAGGTCAGCAACTTTCGGCAAACACTGCACCAAGCTTGACTGGTCGTTGTTGAGCACGAGGGCATCCAAGAAATGAAAGAAAAACATGTCATTCGGAAGAAGGTACAGTTGAGCACGAAACTAGAGCTGTGCTGTGAGCGGATTGTGAGAAAAGCCGTAGCAGGATATGCATTCGCCTCGAATATACAGGCACAATCTGGGTGCTAGAACTGGACAAAAGAAGTCCCAACGCGAGTCCCCAAAGCTGGGCCTGTGGATTTTGGAAGGAGTTGGGGAGGTGATTTGAGACCTGTAGCCAAGGTGTCAGGAAAACTTGATTCTGCATCAGCAGGAGATGTAAGGGTGGTTTGTGCCAGGATCACCTCGTAACTTTGAGTAGAACATCGATTGCTAATGGCACGGCAAATTGTCGAGCTATGGTATCAGCCGCGTGCAGACTTCTACGCTTTCGTCAGGCATCGTTCAGCTAAGATCTGCTTCCTTAAGTACCTCAAGGAGGTGCTTTCAGTCAACTTGGTTGATGTCAGGAAGACATTTGGTTGACTGCGAACATGCCTCACTGCTGGCTTGTGTTTTGCATGGGCTACCTGCAAGGTTTAGAGGTCCTAAGTCGAGTCGTGCAGTTTGGGACAGGGTCTCTCGCTTGAAGTTTTCAGCTGTGCAATGCTGTGTTGCCTATGTGCGTGTTGGCTTTGAGCCTCCACAGTTGTGGTCGCTTTCTGGGTCTCTGTCTTCATGTTGGTTGGTTGGCTCTTGTTCTCTTGTCTTGCCTTGGTGTTCATTGAGACAGCTCGCAGCTGTTTGTCTTCTTTGCAGTGTGAACTTTGTTCGTGGCATTGGTTTGCAACTGTTTAAAGTAAGATTCACACGGACTGGACCTTCGTCAGGCCCTTTGGAAGACGCCCAGATGGCCTGGAGCCCATGTGCACCTTCTTTGCGGTGAGGTGAGCCCCTGATGTTTCTGTGGAGCTCAGGCTGGTGAGGAGGAAGTGCGGGCACCACTGCCGTCTTATCAGGAGAAACGTGTTTAACTGCTTTTTATTTGTTGAACTTCTTTTGAGACATTTTTCGCCTGCGTAGAGGATCAGATCATCAATCCCGAGCACGAGCATCGGCGGATGCAGGCAGCATATCACCGTTTTGCTTGCATTGTTCTACTTCCTGTACCAGTATGTGGGAGGAGCAGATGGCTGCAGATTCAGCTGCTATGTTTCGGCGGATGTCCTTCGATAGGGGTGGCGATCCAGCCGGAGTTCTCTGATTTGCAGGGAGAAGCCCAATCATTGCCTTAGCTTGCGTAGCATATCATTTGCCTTGCAGCATAGGTTGGTGCTGGTGCTGGTGCTGGTGAAGAGCAGGATGACGAACAGATGGGAGAGGGCAAGGTGCGAACATGTGCAAACGTGTTGGGAGTGCTGCTGATGCTCCTGTTTTTGTGAGCCTTGTTTGGTGGGCAACGTCGGCAGGATCCGGCAAGGACTGAGGTCTCAGCTGGAAATCGAGTTACAGCCCTTCTTGGTTCGACAGCTGATGAAGAATACGTTTTCCACCTTTTCTGAAAGGACTTCAGCTTGCTATGCTTGCTTTGCCGCTGAGAAATTGGCCCATTTGCGCACTACTTGTATAGCCAAGGTGAACGTTTGGTACTTGTATAGCACTAGCAGCCGGCAGATAGAACTGAGCAATGCATATCATGTAGCAGCAAATGTGAATTTTTTCCTTCCTGTGCAGTAATGTTTCGGCTTCATGCGCGATGATAGCCCGGACTTGAGCTCACGGCAAAAAAGAATCCTTGGACTCGTGCCGAAAGCCTTCCGTCCCTAACTAGTAGCGGAGCCGTGTCCTTGCGAGCGGCCGCACGGGTTAGGGCACAGGCCCCGAGGCATTTCAAGCGCTCTCGCGGATACGCATCTGCGGGTAGCTGACATGCTACAACGGTATTCATACCGCCGCAGTGAAGCCCCAGAAGACAGCAGCAAGTCCGCAACCTTCGTTAGCTACACGAATTCGATGTCAAGAGCCGTAGCGTGCTTGACGTACTACAGTGCGAACTACACCAAATCTCACAACACGTGTTGGAGACGGCTCATTGTTGGGGTGTCACTGCAGGGCGTTTGAAACCAGGGCACAAATTCTACAACACCAAGTGAGAGAGGCCGCGAAGGTAGCGAAGATTTCTTCCTCGCAAGCTCCATCGCGAACACCGTCCGTCAACACGGGAAGCCTTCCAAGACAAAAGACTTCTCGTGCGTTCTTGTCCTGGTGAACTTGTTGGCTGACTGACTTGCTAAGGCCTGTTGTCCCACGTTTTCAGAGTTTTCATCGTAGAAAGACTGGAAACAGCCCTGCTGCCATGCTTTGGCGGGGTGACGATGATTTCGGTTCCGTGAAAAGGGAGAACTTTTTGAGAACGTTTTCGTTTAGTGTTTTCATGTGGGACATTGTGTAGTTGGCAGAAGCTTGTCATGACAGTCATGTTCATTACATGCATGTATGAGGTGTGTTGCTCAAAGCTAAAAGTTTTCACTCTCCCCATCTCCTGCCTGCCTTCCAGCTAGACTTTTCCTGCCTCAGCCTTGGCTCTGGCAGTGGACGTTGTGTGTTTGGGCCTAGACCCGAAGAGCTCGTTCCCCTGCACTCGTTTCATGCTGCATCGTTCCGGGATACAGCCCTCTGCACTGCCTGTCGACTCCTCCGCTTTTCTGTCTGGGGCGTACCTGTCCCTGGATTCTCACGCTGGCTTTCCTGCCTCTGGCCTTCCTGCCGCTGGCTTTCCTGCCGCTGTTCTGTTTCTGCAGGTTTCTGCCACTCGGCCTAAATCGATAAACAGCAAAAAACAGATCCGCTTGCGCCTATCTAGTTTTTGGTGTCTGTAGATAGCACCTTCCAGTCTTGAACACAGTCGTAACGGAGTAGTCTGATTGGCAACAGATTTGCGACCTTTGTGCCCATGATTTTTTTATACCAAAATGCCACAGATACTGATTGAACTCGGAAGCATTGTGATGGTAAGCGGGTCTGCCGTACAAAGTAATAACCCTATATACCTCACAGAGACGTAAGCGGACAAAGTCCTCCAAGAGTAGGCATGTGTCACACAGCTGCGCATGAGGCAAAGGAAGGGTGCTCCGGAGGGCAACCGAATCACACCTTCAACCCCAGCAGCTAATCCGCGCAGAGATGCAGGACCACATTTTTTTTTTTTTAATTTACACCTGTGCTTAGCACAGGTGAACCCCAAATGTACGGAAACCTTTGCTTGTTGTGCTCTTATTCATAATTTGCTGGACTTGTGCAACAGCAAAGCTCAGAGAAACCACACAACCTCCATGCTAGCGATCTCAACCTCCTTGTTAAAAATGGCGGAGGGGTTGGCAATTGTTATGGAAACCATGGCATCCTCATCGGGCGGGCGGGTCGCAGAAGGAGGTCTGCGCGCTCGTTCCGAGGTCCTGGGTTAAAAGCCTAGCCAACATACGCGGCGTGCATAGGCGACAGGTGGAAGGGTAATAACATACACGGCGTGCATAGGCGACAGGCGGAAGGGTATGATGACATGCTGTCCCGACCCCCAGGTCCAGCACTTCCAACTAAGAAATTGCAACGATGAGTTACCGCTGCTGTTGTTCAAGCCCAGAAGAAAGGCAAAATCAATGGTCAGTTTTCATGCATGTTGTATGCTTAGTGCAGGGCGGCTTGTAATGTGAGAGAGCAAGTTAGTTGCAACCTTGGTCCTTGTGCAGGCCATCAACAAGCTCTTCGCTCCCCCAGAATACAATGAGGCAGACGGGCAACCTGTCATGATTTGTGTTTGTTGCACAAGCGCACAGCAGACTAACAGGCGAGCAGCTACTATGAAACCATTGAGAAGGCATGTTCCTTGCAAGAGCAAACAATGCTTTTGTGGCGTTGTGTGGGAGCAGCTGTATTCTCTGATTCCTCTGCAGGCTAAAGCAGAAGGCAAATGGGTGCTGGTGTGGGGCCAAGTCTGCCAAACCAGACCATGCTTGGGGATGTTCTCTCAAACATTCAGGCAGTACTTTTGTTTTCGGTGTTGGATCACGTTCTTTGCTTGTAATGGACCTGAAGCTGTGCAATGGGCTTGAGGGTGTTCTGGCGGGCGCGCGGGAAGCAGTGGCACCATGGCACGGGGATACCCAGCTAGCAAAGGCTTGACTGCATTTTCCAAACTAGCCCCGCAACTTTTAACCAGCTGTAAACAAACATCCTGCTGAACCCAACGTCTTCTCTGCGCTTACGTGTCTCAAAACTCATCCATTCCATCGTGTGACATTAAGGTCCTAGAACGGAAGAACAGAGGCCATGCCTTTAGACGATTTTAGAATGTTAGTCTGAAAGATCAGTTTAGCTCGCACATACAAAGTCCAATTCTTGATGCTACCATAGCATTATTTCAAACATCTTGCTCATATTTCCCGAAACCGTTTACTGTAGGGGCCCTCAATTCTTTGTAGGAATTTCGACCTAGCCGGATGCCTCGGCCGGGTCCGTGGAATCTTGTCTCCTCTATTTTTCTTCAAAAATAATGTTTCGGGCATTGTCAATCCTTTCTAGGTATTGCCGGGTTCCTGGGCAACTTGTTTGTGCTTGTCTCCCTTTATCTCCCTTCATGTGAGTTCCTTTGCCAGGTTCCTGAGCTCCTTGTCTCCGCTTGTCTCCATTTCTTAGGTTCCTTTTTCCGGGTTCCTGGGCTCTTTGTCTCCGTTTGTCTCACTTCAGGTGGTATCCTTTTGCCGGGTTCCTGGGCACCTTGTCCCCAGTTGTCTCCCTTCATGTGGGTTCCTTTTGCTGGGTTCCTGGGCTCCTTGTCTCCCTTTCCTTCCCTTCAGGCGGGTTCCTTGTGCCGAGTTCCTGGGCTCCTTGTGTCTGCTTGTCTCCGTTTGTCTCAGCTTGTCTTCATTTGTTGGATGAAGCACTCATGTGTAAGTAACACGCGAGCAGTCATTTTGGGAGGAAGGGTGGGACTGAGCTTTCACTTCCACCACCTTAAGGCTCAGGCATCCTGTAGCTGAGCCGAATGAAAGTTTTTCTCCCTTATAGGGCATGTCGTTCGTGCTCTCTCTGTGGACACCTGAGACCATCAGCATTGCTGACGGCACCTTTCCTGCCATAATCGCGTTGCTGGGAGTTTCATTTTATCTTGCTAGGTGGTGCTCGAGCACAGTGTGCAGGGCCATCTGTTTGGATCGCGGAGCTCAAAGTGTTGCACTCCCTTCAGGTCTGCGAATGAGAATCAATGACTATTGATCCTCTTGAGTCAGAGTGGCCAAACTTTCGCACTTTGGCAGATGTGATCAAGTTCACAGGCTTGACCGCGGATAAAGACTCCTTGGCTGGCTCGCTTTGCTATCTGCTTGGTTTGGATGGTTCGGACCACCCCAGGATCTTCGTGATACTGGCAGAGGACGACTTCTCCAAGCTTCGAGAGATGTGGAAGGTGCCCGTGATGGCAGGAGGCTTTATCACACTCAGGACCCCACGCCGAGGCAATCTGGACAGGGTGCACTCGTTGGAAATGCCGTGTTGTGGTTGGACTCCTCAAGAATCAGCCATCACCCGCCGCTGCTGCAACTACGCCTGCTTCTTCTGCGCCTGCCAAACGGAAGGTCAAATTGAGCACGGTGATAAATCAGACGGATGACCTGGAAGTGGACATCCTCGACGAGGTGGCCATAGCTGCGGCATACGCCAGGTATACCAAAGAACCGGGGCGGCACCCCCCCCGGACCAGGAGCTCAGCGCCGAGCAGCTTACTACTCTGCCTCTCTTCTGTAGGGAGGCAGAGCCCCATACACCGACGAAGAAGATCCGCCTGAAGGGAATCTGCCTGAATGCTCAAGGCGAGATAGTTCCTGTGGAGATTAATGGGCCCGCTGACTTCGAGGCTTGGCGCGAAAGCTACGACTAGTTGCGTCATGTTCGGTCAGATCACCCCGGCAAGGCTTGACAGTTATGAGCGCCACACCCGCTCCTATCATGAACGTTATGGTCGAGGCTGCTGGGCTATGCTATACCAGGCGGATGTAAGGGCGCGGCTGGAGCTGTCTGAAAGATTGCGCAAACTCGGCAAGGACGAGCGAGATGCAGCCGTGGCGGCAGGAGGCAAACATGCCTTCGATCCCAATATGCCCTGGGAGGGTGGGACAAGATGGCTCGGATCAAGCTTCTTGGCGTCGGGAGTTGGAAGAGCCGGGCCTCCTTATCTTGGCAAGGTCTCAGACGACTTTTCAGGTTGTAGGCGCAGACGCCGCGGTGAACTCCATGAGAGATCGTGCACCTCCACCCTCGGCAGGCGCTGGGAAGAGGCGTCGCGAGGATGTTGTCAGACAGCGCTTGGTGGGTGAGGACGGTCGACCTGCTCACCCACAACAGACGAGGCGTGGAGTTGTGTCGTGGATTTCAAAGAGGGGAGTTTAAGGAGAAGGATCGCAACGGCTTCTGCGTCAAGACTGTGCGTCAAGACTGGAAGGACGAGGCGTCAGTGCGCCAAGTGCCTTGCTGAAGACCATGAATCTCATGCCAGCCCGCAGTCGCCCCCACGCAGCCGGACCTTTAAGCTGAAGGGAAGGCGCAAAGGTGGGGAAAAGCAAGGCCTGAGAGGGGGGGATCCCCCCACCAGGCGCTGCGCAGTGGCATTGATTGAGGCGCCTGGCGAGGCTGTGCCGGTGTCTTCTTCCGCAGCCTCGGCAACTGGAATGCGCAGAGCGCGATTTGTTGAGTGGGCCGAGTGGGCGTCTTGATGGCTCGGCTGCCGCCTTAAACGTTTGGGCTGTGACTGTGAAGACTGGGACATTGAGAACGGGGCTGACTGTGGGCGGCGAGTTCCCTGTGGGCACTAGCATGCTCAACCTCCTGGAGTTCAAGCGGCTGCTTGCTAGGGACGATGTCCACCATACACAGCTGGCGCAGTGCAACTTTGGGCCGGCTTCCGAGAAGCCCACTGCCGTGGTCCATTTTCGAGTGAGGCTGGGGGACCTTCCAGCTGAATGCCGCCGTACCACATTCCAGCTGACCAATGGCGAGCGAGCGTGCTTCTTTCGGAGACAGCCCTGTATCTCACAGGCAGCTGCTGCTTATCCTGGTGGTTTCTATTGGACTAGGATCCCTTTTCACTACACAACTAACCCCCCAAACCCACACTCAACCCTTTTTTCTCTTTTACTATACTCCTTGATCTTAAAAGGCCTAATGGAGCAAGACCTGTCATCCTTGCAGCAGGGGCCATGCTTGTCGATGACCAAGTTCCCTTGGCTCCAACACTCCCCCTTTGGCCAGGCCACATCAGCTCCATCTGTGCGCGTGGATTTTTTCTGGATGTCTCCACCCCTTCAGGGTGTGCTGCGCCTTCAGGTCTCCATACCGAAGCTCCGCAGCTCAAGGCCTTTGAACATCGGTGCTGGGACACCGCGTGGGATTCGGCTAAGGACTCCCTATAGTTTAGCGCTACTGGCTACTCTACGAGACTCGAAAACTTGATTTTAAACGCCGAGACCAACATCTAGGACTTAGATCCCTAATCTCTCTACAGTATCCCTTCAATCCACTTCTTCCACGCTGTTCCTCCTAGGAGGAGGCGACTTCGCAGGAGGTGATTTAACCGTTGGAGCTTTAGGCCAACTTTATCCACTGCGCTGTGCAGTTTGCTGCGTTGCTCCCGTCGTACTGCTACTGACGGTGCTGCTACTGCTGCTACTGGATGAAAGCACTGGCGGATGCTTTGCGGGTCTACTCTTAGGCGGCGCAGCTTGGGAAAGCACCGGCTCAGCAACAGGACTGTACGGAGCGGCGTTGTAGCAGTGTAGCAGGTGTACACAAGGAACTCTGACCTACCTCTCCATTGATAGCCTTCTGGCGGAAAATTATTTAGGGCGGCCCTAAAGTCGCCAGTGATGTAGATGCTTTGATGGCAGTCCCTGAAGGTGCAGAAGGTCCTCCTCAGCCCGGTGAACTGCTCAAATGGGATTGGTGGTACCGTAACCCTGGGATCAAAATACGGCCCTCTGAACTTCCCATGCCACCCTTATCAAAACACCCTCATCTTCCCTTAGCTCCCATTCATCCCGATTCCTACTATTGGGGATATGACCCAGCAAGGTTCTCTCAGCCCAGTACTCCCAGTCTTCTGGCGTAGGGGTATTTGGGATCAGTCTCAACACTTGCCCTGAGGACCTGATGGCCTCTGAGAATGGCTGAAAGGCCACCGCCCGTTGACTAATCCCTGAAGACGAAGACGCTGAGCCAGAAACCCTAGAGAATGACGAAGCAGGAGGAGCCACAAGCAAGGCTGATGGCTCAGATCTGTGCTGCTTACCAGAATCTATGCTACCCGCGTCCGATTCAACATCGTTTGTCTCATCTCCAAAGTTGTTACGCATAGAGGGTGAAAGCTCTAGCTCTGGGTCGTAGGGGTCATAATGCTGTCTATCGTGAGACAGCCAAGTGGGCCTTGGAGGACAAGGCGTCTTAGACTGCGAGTGTCTCACATTAGAGAACAGATGGAGTCTGAAACGCTTGAGGTATTTCACGTGACTGGCGCCGATATGGTGGCCGATTCGCTGACTAAGCGTTTACCCAGGCAAAGACTTGACAATCTGTTTCGTTTGCTCGGCTTTGGCGATGTGAATCAGCTGGTGGCGTGTAGTACGTTGATCTGCGTGCTTCAACCAGTGAGCGCCCAGGGTCGGACCCGGCCAGATGGGCAAGAGGGGTTTTGGATTTGGTTTGTAGTTGCGTTCCTTGTAGGGCTGGTTGTTGCAATTCTGGTTCAGCGCATACCTCTTTTATGGGTTTGGGTTCAGGGATGGTTTCGGCGTGGGTCAGTTGCAGCACCCAGTGAGCCTTTGCCTACTGTTAGTTGGGCAGCTTTGTTCACGCCGTATGCTAAGTCAATACTAAGCCTTGTGCACGACGAACGTCTTCGAGCTTTACGCCCGAACTCGTCTGCTTCTTCCTG